GCTAAGTTAACATCTTGTAGAAAAACCTACCTTATGTCAAAAAAATCGACCTAATGTCACTTTTAAAGATACGTAATACCTGTGTCCTAAACATTCGCAAGGATCTAGTCAGTATGATGATGGTCAATGTTGTGCGTCTCGTGATTCAATGTGAATAACAAAATGCTCATGTCAGTAAGTTCTCAATCTGCAGACCTGCCAGAGATATAATGGAAAGCAGAATCATTCATATAACATTCCTAGACAGTCGTGACAAAATGTTTAGAGAAATACAGTCCGAATGGTATCGGTAGAAGGAAAGCCCGGATCGCTTCAGAGAGGAATGTAATCGATGTTTATCTGAACTGTACTTCAAGCCTCGTGTCAAAATAAGGAGCCAAGCTGGAGAAAAAAAGTACGTTACAGTACAGAACATTATGTTTCACCCTCATCCCAGCATCTGACCCTATTGGCGGGATGTATATGCACTCTTATAGCAAACAGGTATTTACTAAATTTTAAGTTGCATAAAAAACTATGTGACACATTGGTCATATCTATACTGAATTATTGTAATATCAATATCAGCGAAATATCCCGTTAAAAATTAATGACATGGTCATCACTATTCAGTTTTTATTCACAAGTTGCTGCTCACGTCTAAAGCTCTTACTTGAGGGAAAGATTTCATTTAATAATGATGTTCACTGTAGAACTCTCAGAGAAAATAATATTAGAATACCCCAGCATTCGTCCACACTTTTTAAACACAGTCTTTCTTACAATGTTGCTATTATTTATAATGACCTTCCTAAAGTACACAAAAAATGTTCATTACCTGTCTTTCGACAAAAAGTTAAAACAATATTACTCAACCCTCTAAACATATAATTTACGTAATCATGCATTTCTTTTTTATTTCTTCTTTAATTCAGGTTAATAATTTTTTGGTGCACTTGGGTTTGGAAAGTATGCCTTTTTCTTTTTTTAATTTTTACTCTAGATGTAAAGAACCAAATCTGTTTGTGGATAGTTTTGAACATCTGCTAGCGACTATATGGTTAAGTGTAAGAGTAGCAGCATGCTAAGCTTCGTCTTGTAAGTCTGACATTTGGCTATACTACAATGTAATTGTGGATAAATAAAGACCTTTATTATTATTATTAATATCACAAAACCTACATCATGGCATATAAAATCGATATTTTAAGTTACGTAATATGGGTGCCGAGGTCTGGACTTCGACAACCCGAAGCGAACAGCTTCTGGGGAGAGCTGAACAATCCATCAAAACCTGATACATATTTGGGCTCCTTCTGTTGAATAATGTATAATTCTGTAGCAACGTTAAGAAGCACTACATTGTTATATCGCTTGGTTGTGATTGCCACTAGGATTTTCGTCAGAGCACGAGGATGTCGGGTTTTCATATTGTAATCTACTATGCCAATGTACCTTTGTGTTTCTTGACGACGCCACTGAACTTTATAGTGCCTGTTCTGTGCTGGCGCCACGTGGTGGGTTGCTATGCGCACGCGCTAGCTTGCAAATAAAGGGTACAAGGGAAAAAAGATTAATGTCACAAAAAGTAACTTTTGAGAAAAGCGAATTTAAACGTTTGAAGACTCCTAGTACAGGGTGGGTCAAGCGACTACCATAGATTCCTTATATGAGGAATTGAAAAAAAGTTAAATCAAAAATACATTTTTTATATACACGGTAGCCCAAAAGTGAAAGCAGATGAAACATTTTTTTAATGCAGCTTTTATCTTATTTGTAACTTTTTCGAATTTCAATTTTTGCTCATACAGGGTGGTCAGAAACACAAATTGTAGTTCACATGCAACACCCTGTATATTTGTGCAAGTTTGGATTCAATTTCTTATAAGCTTTTTTTTATACCTGTAACATAAGGGCATTTACGGCTATTTGTTCGGTTATTAGCAGGTCTTTTATGGAACGGCTTAATTCCCTATAATATCGCATCATCCTTGGAAACAAATAAATTGTTGATTAGTTACAAACTGTCAAAATTAGCTTTGTGAGCATTATTAGAAAAACTTGTTTGAAAATGTATTTTTATAACGAAGAAAAGGTGGATATTTTGTTCGTCTTGGGCGAAGCCCAAAGAAATTGTTTCCTAGCATCTCGCATTTATAAGCAACGGTACCCTAATATGCGACATCCAGAGCCGTAAACATTTTTGACACTACGAGAACGTTTTGAATCAAATGGAGCAGTGGAATATAGTAAAAAATGTATAAGTCCAAGTGTCACCGATGATGTGAATCAGTTGCAGGTTCTATAAAAGTTGCAGCAAAATCCCCATTTAAGTGCATGGCAAATTGGAGAAGAAAATGGTATATGCAGAACTTCTGTAGAAAGGATTATTCACATATACATATACACATATTACCTATGCTTGCATCAAGGTCTCCGTCCTCAAGATTTCGCAGGTCGAATGGAGTTTAGTAGAATAATGCTAAATAAAGTGAGCGAAGGCACTGCTTTCCTGGATAAGGTTATTTTTAGCGATGAGGGAAAAGCGAGGGAAAACCCTTGCTGGGTTAGGCAAAAAGATTTCCAAAATAAATGTAGCTTGAATGTTTGGGGAGGAGTTATTGGCAGACAAGTTATTGGGCCTTTCTTCTTCGACAACAGATTAACAGGTACAGAAAAGGTAAATTTTTTGATTGAGCATTTGCCTTTGCTTTTGGAGGATGTCAATCTGCAAACTCGGTGTATAACTATTTGAATACCTGGAGTAACAATCGTTGGATCGGCCGTGATGGGCCTATATCTTGGCCTCCTAGATCACCAGATATGACACCGATGCACTTCTTTCCATGGGGCTACGTTAAGCAAGATGTTTATAGATATCCACAATCAACCCCGGAAAATATGAAGGAAAGGATTAAGGATGCTTTTCTGAACATAAGGGAACACATGCTGAGGGATGTGCAACCGTCATTTTTCCAAAGACTACGGCTGTGTATTCATCATGGTGGAGATATTTTCTAGCAGTTTTTGTAGATTAGGTCTTGAGTAGTGATATTTGTTTGTTTATGTTGTTGTTATAGTTGCTTTTCTCTATTACGCTTAAAGCTAACTTATACTGTTCTGATTGTTATTAGTTTTTACATCAAATCTGTACCTTTAGTGGCAATATGGAACTAGCTCACTGTTTGTCTTTTGTTTCCATGGATGATCTGTTTTTTTCCTTAATTTTGGTGTGTTGCTCTATTAAAAGCTAAATAACTAAAAATCTATTGATTTTATCTGAATCAAACCTTATACAAAAAAAAGCTTTTAAAAATTGAATCCAAACTTGTACAAATATAGATTGTGATGCATTTGAAATTTTTGAGAAAAAGTACAATTCGCGTTTTTCACCACCTTATATGAGCAAAAATGAAAATTCGAAAAAGTAACAAATAAGATAAAAGCTGCGGTGTCTAAGTTTTCTTTGATATAAAATTTCAGCACTCCAAATTCCAAATCGGCGGATTGAGGGGTTGCCAAAGTGGACAGTTTTTCTGGACCTTACATCTCAGTAGCTAATTATCAAAACCCCATAGTAACATATGTTATATCAACCTTCTTCTTTTGAATTGGTTTATCCAAATATGCAATAAAATTCGAGGCACTCCATTTATAAAATCACAACTTTGATATGTAGGTCAAAATTAGGACACCCTGTATAATTGCCAATATTTTAGAAATGTGCCCTTAAATGTCATGTATAACATGCCATAAATAGATTTTTCCAAAATGTATTTGTTTATGAGTAATATTCCGTCCAAACATGAATGGGCCCACCCTGCATATAGCTGCTCTATTGACGATTCAAATACAAACATTGTCCAAGGAAGATATATTATTATTATTATTTTCAGTATCATTATATTTGCGCTTCCATATTTGCATAATATCAAGCCAGGCACAGCCATCTCCGATTCTCGCTATGGAGACTGATACGTACCTTCGTGTTTCCCTCCATTTTCATATAATCTTCTGTGAAATCCTCGCTAGCCATCTTTCAAAGCCGAAGGCTCCACTAATCCGTGAAAGTGAAATCCCGTCTAAAAGAAAAGGACGGATAAAAAGACATCAGCTTCAAAGGCGAAGCTCAGGGAATCGAACTGAGCAGACATATAATTTTGATAAATTGGCTTTTGATGGATTTATATAAATGTAAGTGGATGGGGTCGCGTCCAGAAAAGTTACGCCAGAATGATGGATATGACGCGTCTGGCGGTCGGCGGCAGATGCGAGCGTCAGTTTCCTTTGTGATTATATATGACGCTGATATTGTTATGGGTTTTAGATTTATGTTTATGAGCATTCTATCACAACATGATATTTGCTTTACTAGAATAGCTGTTTTCACAAAAAAATGGGTTCAAATGAATTGATTCCGTACTTCTACGCAAATCTGTCATCAAGTATAGTAATTATACGACAACACATCCACCTTGCAGGATGGATATTTGTCTTATTTTCTCTTCCGATCAAGCTACTGACTTTACCTCCACCTCCTAGGATACGTTTCTGAGAATACCAATGACTTATTTGATCTATTCAAAAAATGTGAAAACAGCATCTGTTTTCGATATACCCCAAACACCAAGATCCGGTTACACTTAGCTATGACCCTAACATGTAACGATGGTTGAGTTACAATTAACACCAACTGTAATGGAGTTGCTTGTCTTCATCTTCACTGGACTCAAATGTAGTTAATTACCCTTATTCCGAACTTAATGGATAACCAACAACTGTCCATTATTTAAGGGAGCCATAGGAAATCTTGGCACAATAAGGGCCAGTTGTTCAACTAACGGTTAAACTGTAGATCACCTGAACTTCAGTTCAAATATGAACTTAGTCCAAGTGCATGTGCGATGTTCATCTGTCAGTCAAGCTCGGTTCCACTGAACCTCAAATATGCAGCAGTTGGTAATACCATAAGCACTATGTTATCAGGCACAGAATGATAAGACATGCATGCCAACAATGTCATTTTGAAGTGATTTTGACCGAAATCATAATGCTACTTTCACTTGCTTTCACTTATAGGCCGATTTTTTGAAGTTAGTTTGTTATTCTCGACTATAAATATATTACAACATCTGCAGGAAAGCGGGTAGGTATATAATTGCTTCATTATATTTCCTATTTTTTATTTATGAAAAATATAATTGCAGCTGATTCTTACTCTTTGTAGTGGTGGATTTATTTGAAAAATGAGTGCACCTAAGAGAACAAGTAACTTTAGCAGGGAAGAAGAATCCCTTTTAATTAGACTGGTGAATAAATATAAAGATGTTATTGCATGTCGTAAAACGGATGCAGTAACAAACTCTTCAAAAGCAAAGACATGGAATATGATTGCAAAAGGGTTTAACAGTGGAGGGGTGTCATACCGGGATAGTAAAACATTGAAGAATAAATATGACAATATCCATAAAAGGTCAAAGAAGAAGTTCTCACAAGAGAAGTGTTCCCTGCTACAGGAGGAGGTGCCTCAAAAACAATTCATTTCACCGATATTGATGAACAAGTCAAAGACATGTTAGGTGTCCGAATAGAAGGAAACCCTTCAGCGTATGATGATGACATGAGTAAGGAAGATGCATTGTATTGTGTGAATATATTTTTAAGCTAAGTTTGTTTTTAGTTGTCTGTGACATACCTGAAAATGGTACATGCCGAGACATAATCATTGAGGAATGTAAGTTTAGAATGCATGTTAAATCATGTACTTCAGAGGAGACACAGGAAGTTCAAAACAGTGGTACTAATAAAATAAATAGTTTCGATGGTATGATTTATTTATGGTTTTCCAGAAAAGCCAGTAGTCATCAGGCAGAGGATGAGAGCAAGTTAAATTATACATCCCCTTTGTGCACACTAAAATCAAGTGCTTTGAGAACTCCAGAAGGTAATCTACATTAAAATCTCCAGAACTATTATGTCGTCATTACTACAAGATTTTTATAATGGCATTTATTTTGAATTATGAAAATTTTTAAAAAAAGCTATTACTTCTAGTACTTAAATGGAAAGTTTTTCATATTATGCTGTAGATTTTTTTCTGTTCTTGTTGATTGAATCAGTAATAAAATACTACATGTTGCTAGTAAATACACAAAATAGATGTGCCTTATTGTGATGCATCCTCATTTATTCATGATTTTATAGATAAAGAAAATCAAATAGCGCATCACTTAGAAGGTCCAGAAGCCAGTATACATCAAACGAGGGACTGGAGCAAATTAAGTACATCACTTTTGCGCACACCGAAATCAAGTGATCTGAGAACTGCAGAAGGTAATCTACAATATAATTTCCAGAAATATTTCATATTCATTACTGCATGATTTCTGTAATAGCATTCATATTGATTTATCTAATTTTCAAAAAGGAACTGTTACTTCTAGTACTTAAATGGAAAGTATTTGCATATTGTGCTGTAAATTTTTTTCTGTTCTTGTTGATGAAATTTGTAATAAAATACTACCTGTTGCTAGTAAATGTGACTCACAACAAGATGTTCCTTAAACATTTTATTTTTAGTGAAGACCGACTGCTCAAAAAAAAGGGGTGCTATTTGCACAAAAATTGAAAAATGGGTCGAATCCGAAAGGTCATTGGAAGATTCTAAAGAAAAATGCCTTTTGGATGAATTTGAAGTGAAAGAAACAGCTATTGATACAAGAAAAAAACTGGAAATAATGCAACTAGAGTATGAAGAGAGAAAAAAGAGGGAATATGAAGTACATAACATTAACATGGAAATGTTAAATATGGAAAAACAGTATCTGTTAAATAAATATAAAATTTGACTTTCTTAATCTTGCCATCTTATTTACCTATTCGGAAATAAGTACATAAGGTCTCCAATATTCTTTATTGTATCATTTATATCTTTCACTTTCACTTAGTATGAAACGAAGATAACATTAGAAAAATACTAAAAACTGAATTTTTTAATCATTCACAATAAATCCTAGAAATAATTAATTATTAGATGCATATTGACGTCCAACTGGGACTGGTGCAATATCGAAGTTGTTAATGAATTCAACTGCTGCCTCAATTTCATTATTGATTGAAAGTTGTGGGTCTTTCATGATAATGGCTAGGTTATGCTAGGCTGCTGTTGCAATAACTACTGGCTCAATGTTTTCTTTCCCTACACGATTTCCTAATGCTAAGATGGGGAAACGTCGTTTCCATACCCAGAAGCATCTCTCGACAGGATTCCTAGTGCGAATTTGAGATTCATTAAATAAATGCTGACTCTGAGTTTCAGGTCGGCTTAGTGGTGTGATTAAATATGGCTTAATACCCTAACCACTATCTGCAACCAACAAACTGTCGCCAAAATGTCCGGTTTCAAATAAGGCTCGAACTCTACTATTTGCAAATATATTTTCATCATGTGATGCACCTGGCCAGTGGTAAACTATATTTTGTATTTTCAAAGTGGCATCGCAAATCACCTGTACATTATAGGAAAAGAAACCTTTCCTGTTCCTATAATTCTCTGGGTCTGCACCACCTGGAGATTTTATTTTAATATGGGTGCAATCTAAAGCTCCTATGCACCTAGGAAATCTAGCAATGTTAAAAAATTCTTGACGTATCACAGTTCTCTCTTCGTCATTTTCAGGAATTTTTATTAATTCTTTAAAATGGACTGCTAATGATTTTATGACTTTCGCCACAACCCTGCTTGCATTTCCCTTGTCCATACCTTGTACATCGCCTATTACTTGTAAAAAGGACCCAGTTGCAAGGTAACGTAGCGTAACAAAGACCATATCATCTGGCGTAAGGGCATGATTTCTATAAACAAGTAGCTTTGTCCAAATCCCACCCGCATTATATCAACCCAGGACCATTCCTGTAGTGTGCGAGTACCCTTTGAGCAGCTCAGATGGTTTTTGAAAATTCACCGACAATGAAAGAACGATTTTTCAATTTAGATTCAACACAGCATTCCCATATGTTGGTGAATGTATAAACGTATACAAAATTTATATTTAAAAATATATCAACTAAAATTTGGAATAGGTAATGATATTTATTCTTCAATCTATCTATCTTCATTGTCGTTTGTCTGGGTTTTGGAGTTGGAGCACAATATGCACCCGCCAGGAATAGCTCTGCTGCCTAGTAATTATAAATAAACTTACTGTATTGTTATATTTCTGATATCATCTGCAACTTTATCTATTATGAATCTAACAGTATTTTTTGATAACCGAAAACGTTGCAAGAATTGAGTGTCGTTCCAAATCCGAAAATTATAAGGTCTCTGTTTGTAAGTTTTGGGTAACCTGAGTATATATACGATGTTAGTTAATTCTAAGAAGTCCTCGTCATCTGTTATCTCTCCGGGAGTATTCATTTTTAAACTCAACACACAACTCCTTCGCTAAACTTTGCTACGATATTTATGTCACTCACTTTGAACTGTGTTTAACCGAGGGACATCGGCCGGTCAGGTTCTATGCCTACCTGAACTGGGTTCAAGCCTCGAGCTTGATTTGTACAACTGATTTTCAACTTTGAACTTAGCTCAATCTGAACAGCGGTTTAAACTGAAGTTGAACAACCGGCCCTAAGTAGTAGAGTGACCTCAGATTTGAACCTTGGAACACGGTGCCACTGAATGAAATTTTGTGGAATACGTTACAAATAAAAAAAATATTGAAAAGCGAACCTATTTAATTTTTTTTAAGTATTCGCTGTTTATGTATACGCGTTTTCTGGTTTCTAATAAATCATCTTGTTTACCTCATTGGAACAAAAGGGCTCATGTGTATTTTACGGCTTTGTTACAGATGTGTTCCAGCTAATTTATTTTTCTTCTTCTTCTTCCTCTTCAGAAATGATCTTTCCTTACAACATTGATGTGACATTTGAGAAAAAAGTATTTAAAGAATAGTGTAGCCTGTTACATCTAAAGGAATCACAGTGATCCTACCTGCAATATGGCTGCGACGACGGAAATTGTAAGTGTACGTTCAAATAGAGAATGTGGGTGGGATTCTTGTTAATCATTGCAGAAACCATGCTTCAGTACTTTTTGGATCAAACCACATTTTTCGTTTACATTGCTTGTAACTTATTTTTAATTATAAATAACTGACCCGACAAAGGTTTTCCTGTCTTACCTATAAACTGGGATGAACAGTGAATAATGAAGAGGTAAATAATATGGAGTACAGATAATTGTATAGCGGAGTGTTTGTACCACCATGTGGCTACCAAAATACGTGGGCTGCACTGCCATTTCCCCATCAACTGTCAATAGCTGTTGGAATAAAGATGGAGGAGAGGAGTGCCTGTCTCTTTTGGTACTCGAGATATTTCTTCTGCTGTGCGTGCTCCATGCTCTAGCGAACTGTCAAACGTGCTCAAATATTCACTAGATTTTCAATGATTTCTCAATTTTCAGCGCAATGTTCTTGATTTCTCTTACCGCAAGAACCTTTCAACATTAGGATACTTAAAAAAAAGATGGATGAAATCGGAAGAGTCGTTATCAAGTTATGGCGTGACCTAGGGAAATAGGGATTCGTATATAATGGAGACTTGTCACATGGGTTGGTTGTCACAATTGTTAAATCTCAGCAGCTTCGCAAGATGTAGTTGCCTGGCGCGCTACACATCGTTTTCGCGTCCGCGCAGAACACTTGTATTCAGTACGAAAGTTGTCGTTGGTAGATTGAGGTCGCACGCACAAAAATAAACAAGTCGGCTAACCTGAGTAAATTTTTCGTTTGAAACATAATTTGTGTTTTCAAGTTGATAATAAAAAGTACTGTTGAATTTATTTTGCTCTTCAATAATCCGAATACGACTTAACGTAAGTATTGACTTTGAATTTGTTAATTTAGTAACGCTATCTAACCTTAAAAATTAATTATCTAGTGGGGCAGGTTGTCACAAATTAGCGGGGGTCTCTTGTCACATGTGACAACCAGCCCTCACACTAGACGATGAGCTTTGCACATCATTCTATGTAGGTATATGTATACAATGTATTTTTTTAATATTTTCAGGTTACATAAGCATGGTTCAAAATTTCAAAAGGAAGACTGAGAAGGGCAAAGCGCCGACTGACGTACTTTTACGAGCTGCTAGGTTAGTGAGATTAGGATCCTCAATAAGAAAAGTGGCAGCTGACTTCAATGTAAATTACTGTACTTTAGCACGATACTGTAAGAAAATTCCAGAGTCTGAATTACTTGATGATCGAGTTGTTGCACCGTCAACTTCAGTTGGCCACATCAAAAATCATTTAGTATTTGAGCCTGAACTTGAAAATCATCTAGTGGAATATGTACTCAAAGCATCTGATATTTATTTTGGATTATCAGCCAAGGAAGTACGGGGACTAGCATATGAAGTTGCTAATGCTATTTCCTTGAAAATGCTGGAAAATTGGAAGCTCCATAAAATAGCTGGTCCTGACTGGTTTAGTGCGTTTCTGAAACGTCACCCTGTACTGTCTATCAGCACACCGGAAGCAACTAGTTTAGCAAGAGCCAGTAGTTTCAATAAAACGGACGTCAACGCATTTTTTGATAATTTACCTTCAGTTATGGAAAAAATATAAATTTGAGCCTCACGAAATCTGGAACATAACGAACCTGGGATTACAACTGTCCAAAGACCCGACCGCGTTGTTGCTAGAAGAGGATTCAAACAGGTTGGTTCGATAGTTTCATCAGAAAGAGGAACTCTTGTTACATTAGCAGCATCAGCTATTGGAAACTCTTTTCATTTTGCCACGGATACATTTCAAACCACATTTTTTAAATTCGGCTCCTCCTGGCTCACAAGGTTCAGCAAACCCATTACGCTGGAAGAAAGAATCACATTTCTTGGAGTTTCTTAGATTTTTTGACCTTCATGTGAAAAGTACTGTGGAAAGACCATGCCTGCTTTTACTAGATAAGCATGGATCACATCTGAGTTTAGAAGGACTGGATTTTGTCAAAGCAAGTGGCATTGTCATGCTCTTTTTTTATTCTCACTGTTCACACAACCCCTTTTAAGAAATATGTAAATACTTCCTGCGATGCTTGGGTTTTAAATGATACCGGTAAGACCTTGAATATATACGACATACCTTAAGTGGTCTCTATTGCATACCCCCTCGCATTTACTCCCAAAAATATTCAGTCTGGATTTCGGGTGTCGGGTGTGTTTCCTTACAACATATATTTTTACGGATGATGACTTTCTCGCGAGCTCTGTCACTGATAGGCCAGATCCGGGTATCTTGAACGAAGCAATAATTGGACTAAACCCGGAAACCTTAATCGAAAAGGAAGTTGGGCCAAATCTAACCATCTTGAACGAAGATGAAACTGTAAGTCTGATAAATATTAACTCGCAGCAAGCAATAGATAATATACGAGAGGGCAAAACAGCTAATCAAACTAGATTTTATGATCCCTGCTGTAGTAGTTTAGTAGGGCTGCATGCGGGAGATATAGTATTTCCAGAAAGTTTAAGACCTTATCCAAAGGCATCGGCAAGAAAAATGAATCGAGTTTCCCATCATAAACGAGGGACTGCAATACTCACTGACACTCCAGTAAAAGACGAACTAGAGAAAGAGAAAAATAAAAGCTCGAACAAGAAAAAGAGGAACAGGGAAACAGTGAAAAGGGACGTTTTGATTCAGAAAAAGTCCTGTTCAGATAATTAAACTGATGCAGAAGAATGTTTTTGCTTGATTTGTCTTGAACCATTTTCTAACAATGCGTCAAATGAAGAATGGGTGAAATGCCCATAGTGTAATGGTTGATCTCGTGATGCGTGCACTGATAAACGTGA